ATTTATTTGTTTTAATTTATTTATGCTAACGATTGTTATATTTTGTCGTTAGTATATATTATTTTATAATACACGTGAATGTAATTTTATAATTGAACAATGTTCTCGATTACATACTCAATGTACACAAAAAGAGCTAGCCGATGTATAACAACTAAATGTAAAAATAAGGAAAACTTCAAATAACGAAAATTGGTATCTTAATTTTATTAAGAGAATAAACTAATGACTCTTATTTAAAGAAGCAGAATACATACATGAAATGTATGCTGCTTCTTTCTTGCTGACTATAATAGTACCTTTTAATAAATATATATATGAGATTGCAAAATATTTATAATTTAGATTCAAACTATTTGAAATTTGAATATGATAACACATGTAATCTCATATAGATAGGAATACCTTTCTAGTTTGAAATTACAAGGTATACATGTGAAAAATAAGCAAAATAGAGAATCGTAATAATTTTATTATTTGTGTTTTAGATCTAATTTTTTCATTTTTACACATTTGCAATAGTAAAAGAAATCGTCATAAATATAAAAATATCGTTTTATATAGATCATATACTTTTTTTGATGAAACAGATTATATTGTTAGCACTAAGGTTCATGAAAATTATAAGTGTAAAATTAAATAACATGTAATATAAGCAAGCATTAATTGAAACGAGTATATTATTAACTGCGGTGTAAAGTGCGATTAAGGGAGCGGGACCAATTTATTGAATTATTTATAAGATTGTAAGAAAATAAATATGTTTCTTTCCAATAGCCATTTATATGTAACTTGATATCTTTTATCAGCAACATTAATGGCATTGCTTACCAAAATTACATAAAAATTATAAAGTGCCAATATTAATTGTATCTTCGTAGAAATAATTTAAAAAGCAGACATTTTTCAAATGAAAGAACACTTTTATAATACGAGAAGTAGTGCGTTGAAAATTTTATAACAGTTACAGCGTTAAATATGGTATAAAATTCGTATTTTCATTTTATTCTTAACATAATAATAGAATCGCAATTACAAACTCCTATGTTTAGAAGTACTTTACATCGACGTTAAGTCCAGAAATAGGAACAATTTGTATGTACTTTCGAAATCTTTG